TCAGAACCCTCTCGGAATTGTCTTGAAGGGGGGCCATCTGAAGGGGAATATGGGAACAGTCGCAACTTGCAATGGGCTCATGGAAAGGCCGGTGAAGATAGGGTTCATGTTGTGCTTTCTGAAGAGCAAGGATGGCTGTTTATTGGTATATATGATGGTTTTAGTGGTCCTGATGCTCCAGATTTTCTGATGAGCCATCTTTATAAAGCCATAGACAAAGAATTGGAAGGACTGCTCTGGGATTATGAAGATAAATCTGGAATTGATCCATCAAAACCTGAAATATCTAACAGTGGAAATCCTGATACTGGTTTAGAGTGCAGCAAAGAAGATCAGTCAAATTCTTGTTTGGATCAAGAAATGTCGTCTAGTGGAGGAGAATTGCTTAATCGAGAAAATATCTACAGTCAGTCATCTAATAATGAAATAGTTGAGGAAAATGATGATCTGAGGGGCAACATGAAACAGAATTTATCTAATTGTAGAAAGTCCAATTTAGGGGTTGAATCTGAGTCTATTCCATGCGCAAACATAGCTGGTCAAGGCAGGAAAAGCATGCGGTTATATGAACTACTTCGGATGGAACCATGGGATGGTCAAGGTTCTTTGTCTATCTCACAAATGGATAGACAAGGAAAGGGCTCTTGTGATTGTCAACCACTTTCAGATAATGTAGAATCCGTCAACTCATCAAATTCCAAAGTTGATAGTTCTAACATACGAGGCGAAGATCCTACTACTTCAGGAGAGGATAGTGGCATTGGGCTGGATTTTTATAATCAAAGTGCTGCAACTGCTGCTTCAATTTCAGGTCAAAGACAGAGTATAAGGAAGTCTTTGATTGGTTCAAAGATAAGAAAAATATATCGAAAGCAGAAGTCATTACGGAAGAAGCTTTTTCCTTGGAGTTATGATTGGCATAGAGAAGAGATTTGTGTGGATGAGAGAATAGTTGAATCTTCAGGACCTATTCGGAGGTGCAAGTCTGGAGTTGTGGATCATGATGCTGTGTTGAGAGCAATGGTTCGTGCACTAGAAAGTACTGAAGAGGCTTATATGGAGATGGTGGAAAAGGCTCTTGACATAAACCCAGAGCTTGCTTTGATGGGATCATGTGTTCTAGTGATGTTAATGAAGGATCAGGATGTATATGTCATGAACCTTGGGGATAGCCGTGTGATCTTGGCACAAGAAAGACCAAATGATCGTCACCCCAATCCAAATCTTGCAAAGGATGATTTAAAGCGTAGAAATAGATCAAGAGAGTCTCTAGTGCGTATGGAGCTGGACAGAATATCAGAGGAGTCTCCTATGCATAACCAACATGGGCAAGTTAGCATAATAAATAAGAACATAGACATCTCTGTCTGCAGATTGAAGATGAAGGCTGTTCAGCTTTCCACTGACCACAGCACAAGTATTGAAGAGGTTTGCTACTGTTTACTGACAAGCTCAACTTTAATTTACACATATTGAATTTCATTTGTTTTGGACTTTTGATGATATTCATCACCATTATGTCCTTGTAAATTGTGAAAATCTTCTTTTTGTAACAAACATGCAGAGGGAATATGTGTATGGCACATGTGATGTGTCAAAGGAAGTGACGTTTGAATCTAGAGTGACCAAAGTGTAACAAAATGTTTTATGCAATTATATATTTAGTTTGACTCAATTAACAAAGTCAAATCTTTATAATATTGGATCACTTTAACACCCTTGTTTTTCTGCCATTTGTTTGATATTTTGATCTTAACTGGATTGATTCCATTTTAAAGAGCACTGCTGGCTAGGCACTGTAAGTTGATGAGCCATTTGCTCAAATGGTGGGCTTATCCTCCTTTAGTGGCCTTAGCATGGTTGTGTTGCCAATCGGAAACCTCCATGATTGTGTACTCAATGTGAATAACTAAGATATATATTCAATTGATTAGTTGCCCTGATGATGGCTTCAAATATTATTTTGTGTGTAATTTCCTGTAAACCATAAGTAAAACTCATCAATTTTTTATGTATGTCAAACAATAAACGAATTCTGATGTCATTTAGGGAATAATCACCTGTTCTTGATTGTCTTTGGCAGGAAATCTTAAGAATAAAGGCAGAGCATCCTGATGATGACAAAGCCATTTCAAATGATAGGGTGAAGGGGCAGTTGAAAGTCACTAGAGCATTTGGTGCTGGTTTCCTGAAGAAGGTTGGTTTAGCTAGCATCTTTAACTGTTATTTTCAATTTTTTCCTGAAGAAGCTTTCTCTCATTTGAGATTGAATAACTAGTAGAATAGAGAAAAGAATAGAAACTATGATGCTTTTGTGTAAAATAAACACAAGCTGACAGAATTTCTTGATTCTTCTTTTGCTTCTTGCTCTCTTCTTGACTTATTTTGTAGGCAAAGTAACCTTTTGTACTAGTCATTGTTTGGTCACAACAAGAATTTCCTTTAGTATTTTAACTATCAGCAAGCTTAATGGAGTTGATATTTAATGGGGGAAAATATTGTGCTGGATGTATAAATTGATTGTCTTATTAGTTGTGGTGCTCAATATGTGAGATGGTTTTCGTTGGGCTTTTCCTAGCAATTTACAAGATCAGGTACTGATTGGTTTTTGTCAAATGGATAGGTTAAATGGTGCAAAATATAGGAATTTTGGATACGAATTTCTTTTCAGATGTTGCACTCAAGGGCAGGTCTGTAGGAATTCGGATAGTAAAGTTTGTTTGTGCTTCTGTCTGCAAATTTATGATTTAGCATTTCCACTAGAAGTCTTATGCAGTGGTACCATTTCATTTCAGATATTTGTATATGTTGACATGTGCATGCAAATGCACACGCTTACATTGTATGACTTAAACTGTCAGCATATAAATATCCAAGTTTTGTGTGCTCTATTGTTTTCAATCAAATTTAAGTTCTTGCTAAGAGGATCATTGCATCAATAGTTTGTAGGTGTACCTCCCTCTCTTTCCCTTCCTCCTCAAATAACTTCTAGTGATCTCAATAATCCTCTTCTGGCAGTTAGACATTCAAATCACAAGCCTGTTACAGGGCTTGATGAATGAAACTATATGTAATGTTAATTGCTGTATTATATATCTTAACAAAGGAGATGCTTAAGCAGTGTGCTCTGAAAATTAGGCCTGAAGGTTTTGTGATGTCAATGATGGGCACTAAATTGTAGTAGCTTCCTTTTAGAGCATTTGGAAGCTAAAATTTTATAGTGAAGTAAAACTTGAGGTTAGGCAGGGGAGTGCCATTAACTTTTCATCGAATTTGGTGGTGGCCATGTTTATGAAAACCTTTCTGCTTTATTTGTTGTCTTTCTATGCATTTTCATTGATGCTGAAATGATTGGTTCTTTATTGATTTCACTTTTTGGGTGCAGCCAGCTTGTAATGAAGCACTGCTAGGGATGTTTCGAATTGATTATGTGGGAAATTCTCCTTATCTTAGCTGCATCCCCGCTGTCGTTCACCATCGGCTCTCCTCAGGTGACCGATTCTTGGTACTATCATCTGATGGACTTTACCAGTATTTCAGCAATGAAGAGGTTGTTGCCCATGTCACATGGTTCATGGAAAATGTTCCTGAAGGAGATCCTGCACAGCACCTTGTTGCAGAGCTTCTATTCCGTGCTGCCAAAAAGAATGGTATGATTATCGAATATACTGTCTTTTTATTATATTTTATGTAGTTAAGGTTATATTCTTGTGGTTAGCTGTAGCTGCATAATCAATGTAGTTAAGGTTATATTTTATATAGTTTATCATTTTTAATGGCTTTAAGCATTCAATGATTTTTTTCTTACACTCCAGAAAGGGATGGATTTAGATTTCCTCCACCGTTCTGAATTGTATAGTGCAATCTATGGAGAACTATGACTTAATTTGAACTTCTGTTTTGCGCATTTTACTGATGAGATTTTATTGATTTTTGTAGGAATGGATTTTCATGAATTGCTTGACATACCTCATGGAGATCGCCGTAAATATCATGATGATGTTTCTGTTATGGTTGTTTCATTGGAGGGAAGAATTTGGAGGTCTTCTGGATAATTTTTTTCGTTTTTTCCCCCTCTTTTTGTCACTTTTGCATGGTGCATCAACAGTGTAATTTTTTTGAAGCAACGGGTAAAATCACATGCATTTCAGAAATGAATGAGAATACTAGTCTCGGCATTTCCCTATAGAAGTTTCTCCTTCTCATGCCTACATTCTTTACTTCTTTTGTTGGTTTAATGGCTTGACTACATGATAAAGTAACTCTCCCTTACCACCTTTTGCAAACTTTTTCTGGTAGCAAGGCTAGGCTTTTATGTTACAGTTGTTGCAGGAAAGACAATTGGTAACTGAAGGTTTTACCTAATAAGTCACTGCTCTCTGGTAATTATTAAGCCACTATGCATGTTTAAGAAAAACAAAAGAAAAACATTTAACAATTTCATTTTCAGTTTTTCAGACTGTCTTAATTCTCCCAAAAATGTGAAAAATCGGCAATGACATTGGTACATCGACATCAGTTTCTGCCATTAATTTTCGAGGTGGCAGAAATTTATGGAAGAAGAAAAGCTTTGTTCTTCACTTTTCATTAAAGCCAAGATGCAGCTAATTACTTTATTTAAAGCTTACAGTAAAGAGAACTAAAAATTGAACTATGCATGAGCCAACCACTAATAATCTTGTAAAGCCTGAAACGTAAGCCACTACAAGATGGGACAATCCATCCACTGCAACAACAGCTGGTAAACCAACCCATTTCAATCTATTTATCAACAAATCCAAGTTGATCTTTTCTGAAGGTAATTAAATTGAATCAAGATTTATGTATGTTTATCCTTAAACGAGGATGTCGGAGAATAAATATGGAAGTTAGCGACACAAAATGGAAAGCGAAAGCGTTAGTAGCCTTGTCTTAACCGAAGGGCCCGTTTCTCTGCTCATGGGAATCGCTTTCTTTGCGGTAGGTAGTATGGGCGTGATGCAAAGATGTCTTGTTCTTCCCCTCTTTTGACATCCTAAAAGGCCAAAAGCCAGAAACAACTCTTCCTTGACAAAACTCCACCACCAAACTTTGATTGCTGTTCTTACCATTCAAGTTCTCACAATTTAACACTTTTCTCTTTAATTTATTAACACGTTTGATCATTGATGTGTAGTTTTCCAAGGGTCCGATAGTGCATTAAGTTTTATTTTGATTCGCTGGAAAAGCCCAGACTGCTAATAAATTGGGTCAAATGTGGTAGCTTGATTTTTTTCTGCACTTAAACAAATTGTTTTACTTGTAAGTTGAAGTAGGTCTGTTTTTTCCTAACTTTAACGTCACATCTATTATTTATTCCACCCTATCTGTAAGCATTTTCTTTCAATATATAAAATAGACGGCTTCTTTCTCTTCTAACAATCAAAACAAAAACTTTTCTCTGCTCTTTCTCTTGGCTATTATTACCCTTTTTTGCTTCTCTTGATAGCAATCAGCTTGATGGCTGCCAAGGTTTTTGTGTATCTCTTCCTCTTCGTTGCTCTCTTTGGCCTGGTTGCATCTGACCCTGATCTTCTCCAGGATCTCTGCGTAGCCGACAAAACTACAGGTACAACAAGTCAACGAGTTTCACTTAAACAAATATTTTTCTTTTCTTCATCAGGAATTCTCTAACATATATCATCTGGAATATATATATATATATATATATATATATGTATATATATGTACACTTGTAGGAATAAATGTGAATGGATTTCCTTGCAAGGATGGGGCAAACGTTACAGAAGCTGATTTTTTCTTTAGCGGTCTAGCAAATCCAGCAGTCATCAACAATTCGGTGGGATCGGTGGTAACAGCGGCCAATGTTGAAAAAATTCCAGGGCTTAACACCCTTGGAGTGTCACTTTCCCGCATTGACTACGAACCCGGTGGCCTTAACCCACCCCACACTCACCCACGTGCCACCGAAATCATCTTTGTTCTTGATGGCGATTTGGATGTAGGATTCATAACTACAGCAAACAAGTTGATCTCCAAATCCATCAAAAAAGGCGACATTTTTGTCTTCCCCAAGGGTCTGGTTCATTTCCAGAAGAACAATGGTGACAAATCAGCTTCCGTGATTTCAGCATTCAACAGCCAATTACCTGGAACTCAATCTATGGCCGTAACATTGTTTGCTTCAACACCCGCAGTGCCAGACAATGTCTTGACCAAGGCCTTCCAAATTGGCACCAAGGAAGTCGAAAAAATCAAAAACAGGCTTGCCCCAAAGAAAAGCTAAAAGATGCCTTTGAGTTGGAGGATGAGGTAAAAGCATCAAATCCTGCTTCTCCAACCTTAATTGAGATTACTACTCTGTATTAATTCTATATTCCTTTTTCAGACATTGAAGAAAAGTGGGTTGAAGTTGAACCTAGCACTTTATTATATGTAATAATAATTGGAGTTGGTTGTAGCTCTAGCTGGATATTTGTAATTAAAAATATCGTATTTCTTTGGAATTGAATAATGTAATTTACCAGCAAAAGATTGTTCATTTGTAGCAATGTTCCCATGTTATCATTTTAAATGTATTTTCTGTGCATTATTGTCAATTTGCCTGTTTGGTTATGCTTTCAATCAAAAACAAAAGATGTTAATGTTTCCTTAGTTTAAAATATATAGCTTACAATATAATATGAATTGATAAAAGCATTACTGTAAAAATAAATATTTTTACAGGATGTTGATTAGATAGAGAGAGAAAAAAAAAAAAAAAAAGAAATTTTAGGCTTTTTATAGGAAAATTGAAATTAAAAAAAAAAGAAAAAGAAGAAGGGCTGCAGCATCCGACCTGACTTAATCCAATCCTCGCAAAAAAGCCTAATAAATTACGGCCTATCGTTTGGGCTTGGAGGTTGTGGTAGATTATTGCTTATTTATTTGTTTATTTATTTTATTGTTCTTTTGTTTTATTTATTTATTTTGTTTGATGAATTATATATATTTAAAAAATGTTTAAAATAATTAATATGTATACCTATTTATTAAAGGAATCCAACCCTTTTTGTCATTTTATCTCTTTTTCAAATAACATAATATATAAAAAATAATAATAAAATTAAAAAAAAAATCCTTAGCCTAACGGAGAGTCTAATTTTAGTAATATTAAAATTTTCAACATCGATGCTTGTAACTTCATGCTTTGTGATTATTGTCTTTATTCTTTTTTTCACATATATAGATGATAACGAATCAGGTCAAAGTAAATTTTTGCTTGTTATAACTCAATCCGATATATATATAATACCCAAACTCAATTCGATTTAATTTTTTTAAAATTTTTTCATACCTGAACTTAATTTGACTCGACATTATATAAAATCGTACCGATTCGATATTATCAAAAATTAATAAAATATTTATTTTAAATATAAAATATTATTTTTTAATATAAATACAAAATTAATTAATTAATTAAAAGGTAATTTATATATATAGGGTCTGATAGGATTGGATTTGCCTAAAATCCGACTTAAAATTTTTTTTTTCTATCACTTCACCTAATTCGATACTTAATTTAAAAAAAAAAACGATCATAAAAAATTGTGTCGGGTCAAAACCTGTTAGGATCAAACTACTTTCTTTATTTACAAATCATGAGGACAACAATATTTTTTATTAGGTAATCAATTATATCTTAATTTAATAATTAAGAAAAAATTTTAAAATTTTAAAATTAAATTTTATTATTTGTGAGTTTAATTATTTTATTCTATTTAAATTTGTTAATTAATTATATTATAATTATAATTTGATTGTGATGTAATATTTTTTAAATATTATAATAATTAATTATTTAATCCATTACATTAATATAATAATTAATTATGATTTTAATTTAAAATAATATTTTTTATCTCATAAAATTATGAAATTGTTGCAATGACTAATAGATATATTTTTCGCCGACGATAGCATAACTTATTAACAAAATATTATAATTCTAATTTTAATAATTAAAATTAAAATTCTAACCATTTCAATTAAAAAAAAAACACGCATATTTCTCAATATTCGAGCCGTTCAGTTAAAAAAATGTACTTGTAAATGTATAGTATGTTTTGATGTAAGATTGATGAGCAGTCGGATGAGAGTCGTCAATTATAATTTGGCTTACCTATAACTAAACGAATGGGCCACTAGCATAATAGTCAGGCCTGATGTGGGCATCATTGGGCTACTGCAATAGGCTCTATAAAACCGAACACTGGGTTTGGGCTGGGGATAAACACGAGTCTAAACGCAGCGTTTTAGATTTACCCTATGGCTTTGGTGATGTTTTTCGGTGGCGGAGTGTGAGCGGTGAGAGGAGGGGGAATTCAATTCGGTTCCTTGAGATTCAATTTTACTGAAGTTGGAGAAGGAAATTGAAAAACAGAAGAAAATTGAAATGCAGAAGAGGAAGAATTTCAGAAAAAGAAGCATCCAAGAAGACGAAGGAGATGACCCCGCCGCCAAATCAGACGACGAAGAAGACAGAAGGTAATCTCTTTTTCCCCTTTTTAATTAAATTAGGGTTTTTCTTTTAAATTTTTTGTTTTGAAATTTTAAGTTCGAAATAGAAGAAAAAATGGAAACGAGTTAAAAAAAAAACCATTGGAATGTGTAGATTGGCGTTAGAGGAAGTGAAATTCCTGCAGAAACAGAGGGAGAGGAAATCAGGAATCCCTGCAATTCCTACGGTGCAAACGGGAGGCATGATCGCTAAAGTGACCGAAAAGGGCGAACCTGATGGAGAAAAGGAGGAGCTTGTTCTTCAAGACACCTTTGCTCAAGAAACGGCCGTCTTGGTTGAGGATCCAAACATGTTTGCCTTTTATCCTTTTCTATTTTAGTTTCTTATAAGAAAGTTGTTGCTTTTTCTTAAAATGAGGATTGTCTAATTGCTTATCTGTAATTGATTTGTAAACTTAGGGTAAAATATGTAGAGCAAGAATTGGCAAAGAAAAGAGGAAGGAACATGGATGAGAAGAATGAAGTTGAGAATGATTTAATGCGAGCCGAAGATGAATTATATAAAATTCCGGAGCATCTTAAAGTGAGTTTGAATTTCATTCCATAATTCGGGCTATAGTACTATTAGCTTTTTCGTTTGGTAGGTTATCAAATTATTATTGGCAAATGTTCTTGTTGTTTCTTATGAACTTTTATATTTGATGTTTATTGATTAAAATGAATGTTGCTTTTTGAGTGTCTGTTCTAAGATTTTGCTCCAGTTTTTATTAATCCCTTAGTTTTAAGCATTCTACTTTCTTTCTCTTACTTGAAGAATGCTACTTCCTTATTTTGTTTAAAAATGTCATGTAATTTCTCGCAGGTGAAAAAACGGAATTCAGAAGAAAGTTCTACTCAGTGGACTACTGGGATTGCTGAAATTCAGCTGCCTATTGAGTATTCCTTTTACTAATCTTTCATTTCAATAACATAAGCTTCTGCCGATATGCTATCACGGGATCCTACTTTGGAGTGTTTGGAGTGTTTTTGCTTCTAGATCAGACTTTGTTTAGCTGCTGTGCTGCTAAGCAAACCATGATATAATGTCTCTAGACCCACTAAATAATGGCCATTGTGTATGACCCTTGTTTTTAATAGATTAATGGATGGTGTGTGCTGATTTTTTCTTTGGTTGCAGGTACAAGTTAAGGAATATAGAGGAAACAGAGGCTGCCAAAAAGCTTCTACAAGAAAAGCGGCTCATGGGACGGGCAAAATCAGAAGTTAGCATCCCATCAAGTTACAGTGCTGATTATTTCCAGCGTGGCAGAGATTATGCTGAGAAACTTAGAAGAGGTTGGTTACATTTTCCTTTTTTTATTCTTTTGTAATGGGAGGTTAAGCATTTTCAGTTCAGTTTGCTTCTGGTGGGAATTTGATCTTGCTCTTTTCACTAGTTTGTCGGTTGGGTATATTTTTTCCTTATTGATGTGAATTTGAAATCTTTAATTCTGTTTGTTCTGGTTGTTTCTTTAGTGAGGTATGTCATGTTCACCCTTTTCACCCCTTTTTGCTTCCCATGAACTTGCAGAACATCCTGAGCTGTACAAGGACAGAAGTTCACAGGTTGACAGTGCTGGCTCCAGACCAACCGATACCAGTACTGATGCGGCAGGAAGTAGGCAAGCTGCAACTGATGAGTTTATGCTAGAACGCTTCCGAAAACGTGAACGCCAAAGAGTAATGCGGAGATAGCACACATGCAGTTATACAAGCAGCATGTCAACCATGGTTGAAATTTCAAGCTTCATGTCCTATTATTGGTTGCAGTGCTACTTGTCACCAAGATGTCCAGTTAGCAACAAAAGAACATGTTACTCTTAGAAACTGTTGTTATGACTGATGAACATTTGTACATTTTCACTGAGTATGCTTGGTTCAACTTTTATTTAGTTGTCAATGCCTGTATGGCTTGACAATTGAGATCCAGCTCTTTTAACCAGGTATTATTATCAATTCCGGAACCCAGCATCCAAAACATATTTAAGCCTTTTTTTTCCCATTCGCTGCAGTACCATTACAATTAAGTTGCCAATGGTTGGCTTATATATTTTTGTAAATCACTTTCTGGGCTTCATTGCGAAAGGCTAAGCAACAACCTAAATGATGAGGCTTTCTATAATACAGCTTGGAAGAAAAAGAGTATGGCAAAACAAAATACATCAATAAAATACTATAGAATATTAATAAGGGAATATCTAAAACTGAACGTTGGCTTTGAAGGACTGGCCAAATTGCCAATTGGAAGGCACCACATTAAGAGCAGTTAGAATCCTTCCGTTGCTGACTTGAACCCTGAAGGATAAGCTCTGACCATTTAGATAGCTTAAGCTCTGCCAGTTGGCACCCCAGTTCCTCGACATGGTTTCCCATTTATTGGTTTTGGAACCTTTTATCCATACCTTGGAAATCTCTCCAGCACCGGCAACATTTGATATGAGCACTAGCTCAAAATAGTTCCTTCCATTGATGGTGAATCTGAGGCCTCCACTTCTCCTGCATGTAACCCTGGCAAACACAAAACAAATTCAACGTATCATCAGTAATCATATATTCAAAGGTAGTCTTAGCATTATAAACCACCAATGCTTAAATTCAAGTTGATTGCAGAATCAACTTTAGAAGAGAGGAATCAATGCACATACTTCCTGTAGAGGATTGGTACAATTCCAGCCCTGTATTTAGCTATGGTCTCGAATGCAGGCTGGGACATGTCAAAGTGTGGTTGGGGTGGATTACACCAACCACCATTGTTACTTGGGAGTGCATAGTTCGGAGGACAGAAGTTGGTGGCTGTGATGGTAATGTATTTACCCTTGAGACACCACTGAGGTACCTTTGTTGCATCACAAACTATCTGATAGCAGCCTCCGCATGACTTGCCATCGTTAAACAAAGCTGTGCTGAGTGCAGCTGTATTTATTCCATAACCATCTGTATAGAGATTATCATAACCACAAGCTCCACCTGGAAAACCAACATGGTAATTAATCATCAATTCAAGACCATTGTACAGCTCTCTATACGATAGATAAGTTATGCAGTAAAATGAGCAAAATAAGAAAGGAATAGAATAAAAAATACTTACCCATTGTACCGGAAGCATCACTCCCACCATAGAATGTTGCATGGGCTGGGAACCAGACTGCAGCAGCATCTGCCACATGAAATTTATCGGCAAAATATAACCCCACAAAGAGTATGGCAATAGTGAATGGATAGGCACTCTCCATTCTTGTTGTTTTTTTTGCTCCCTCCCTCTAAAAGCAAAGGAAAATTTTTTTGAATGCTGAAGAATGTAGAGCCAAGGATGAGTTTGATGCTGCAAATGGAGAAATCCTAGATATTTATGGTCACTGCTAGACCCCTGGCTAGCTGATAAAAAAATTATTGTTAGAATTTTTAAACATTAAATTATCCTTGCAAATTTGTTGAGTGAATGAAGGCATTCCATGGTCCTTAAATGATAGAATAAATAACCGTAATTCATGATGTCATATGGAAATCCTCCTTTTAAATTCCAACCCATGTGGGGTAGTTATGCACTTTGGTGCTTCAGTTGATTACTTTTCCTTCTATGCCCTTGGTCAATCTATCACCAAAAATGGTGAAAAAAGGAGTTCCAAAATTTTCAATCTTAGGGTGCATAGAAGATTGGCAAGTTATTAACATTTTCTAGCGTCTAATAACAATACGAAAAAGAAATCAAATATAATACCACAAGGCTTTCATCTCAATATATAAATGATGTTTTAAGCTAATTAAAGTTTCAAAATGATATTGAAATTTTTTTTAATACCACTTTTGAAAAAGAAAATTTTGGAAGATTATAATCCATATGGTAAGATCATGGCATCAACACTATTCAGTTATTGAAGAAAATACACGGACACAATCCTATTCCATTCACATTATATCAAAGCAAGCTCTAATTATTGGTAAGTCATTTCCATACAATTTCCAGGAATTTAGACGGTGCTGGGGTTGTTTTGTGAATTCAACATACTATAGTATCCGTGGTACGTTATAGTACAGTTGAGCTGCAAATTGTCAAGCAGACAATATAAAATTACAAGACAGTTTCTAGGCAGAAACTTATGGTTTCAAACTTGGAGTCCAATTCTTAATTTCTGCAACTATGACTTTCAACAACAAATGGATAGGAGCTTCTGCAACTGAAACTGGAAAATCAAAGTCAACTCCCCCAAAAAAGCCATATTTAATTCATGTTTAGACAGGTTAACCACCATGAATCAGCAAATATCAGTGCCTTGTTTATGGAAGAAAAAAGGAAAAAAAAAATTCTTTGGTTGATAAGTAGAACCATATATCATGGCATGTCTTAAGGGACTTACGCCTATATAGCACATGGGTGATGGCACCTTCAAATTGAACTTTTCATCCAACCAATTGCAAACACATGGTTTCACGTTCTTGAATTCAATCGGTGAGGGAAATTGTATTTTATTTATTTAGTTGTCAATTTAAAAAAAAGTCATGGCTTGAAGGGGAAGGAGAGTGTCTACTTTCTACAGCGGAATACTAATAAAATATAGCTGATTGTGGCTTAGTCTTCATTTTCTATTGTAAGTGGTAGAATCTTTCAAAAACACCCCCCAAACGGAGTTCAAAATGATGTGGAATGTGATAAACGGTGTTAATGCTATCCCTTCCTTTCTAATGAAGGTTAAAAAGACTGCAGGGCTACCGATAACACTTGATAATTAGGCAAGGAAGAAAGTGTATTTGAGGAAGCATAGCTTAATTTTCACTTCCACTCCAATGAATAATTGTCTATATACTTTGCATAATTACCATTCACTGACCCTCCAACATTGCAACCATAATGTATAGCAACTTGAAGTTCAAAGCAAAAATTAATCCACAAAGTGACCTAACATAATAGATGATTATATTGAGAGAACAAGTTATCATCATTGGCATTTGCTGAGAACTGAGTAGAAGAAGAAATTACCCAACAAAAAGAGCTCCTTCACTGGTAACAAGTGTTGTCTAGAGAGCTAGTTTTTAAAGAATTTTTGTACATTATAATTCTGTTGACCAGATGCATATATCAATTCAAACTTGTTTCCAATCAAAACAGTTCAAAATTGTTGAAATCAACTAGCATTAACAAATCTCAATTCGCTTAACTTCCATGTCAAAAGCAAATACTAATTGGAATTGAAATTGGACAGCATATGAGAATTTACCTTTCAAGAATCAAAAAGAGGATTGTGAAGTAAAAAACGAGCATTATTCAACAGAGCACTAGCCTTCTCATTTGACGCATCTATCAACCTCAGTTCCTTGATCTCTTCCTGCCATTTCTCCATCTGTTCCTTATGTATCCTTAAACAAACAAAACCCATGAAAACAATAAAAAAAAAAAAAATTGTCCTCCATCTTTAGATTACTGAATTCAAAAATAATAGTAGAATCTTACATAATCAGCCGCTCCTCAAATTCATTGCTCAATTCCTTGAACATCGTCTTGCCGGATTCCAATAGCTCCGAAACCTCCATAAAATTATAGGAAAAAGAAATAATTAAAATAAATATGAACAGCTGCATATCTATAAAATCGAAAGGATTGTGATTCAGTTGTAGTTACCAGTTGAGTAAAGCGCTCGATATTTTCAAGAATGTGAGAGACATTGAGTTCCATTTCTTCAGATCCAACAATGTTTGTCTCAGATTGTTCTTTCTCTGTTATTTCCATAACAATTCCATTGCTTGTTTGATCTTCTTCGTTCTCTTCCATCTAAAATTTAGAACAATCAGACATTAATTTGATTGAAAAAAGAACCAAAAGAAAAACCAAAGAGGCTTTACGTTTGGTTTCATGCGTTTCCTCAAAGCTTCTTTTCCTTCACTTTCCATCTTAATACCTACAAAGCGGATATATCTGATCACGAAAAAAAAAAGAGGAAAATTTGATTAAAAAAGCCGTGTTTAATAAAAATTAATCGAATAAATCATGGAAAAAAAAAAAGGCTTACCGAAGAGAAATGGAGAGCGAAATCGAAATTGAAAACGGAGAGATTCCGCTTAAGAGAAAAAGTGAAAAACCCTCGGTTTTCAAATTTGGAAATTCAGGAATGCGCGCGAATTTGATTTTATTTGGTGGGCTAGGATGAAATGGATTTTTTGGCCCAAAAATGTGAAATGGGTTTAAATTTGGGTTCAGTGGCAAAGAGAATCTGGGCCGATGGATGCTCCATTTATGTGGGGCCTTGAAAGACACAGATGATAGGAGATTTGTTTGTCTTTTTGTCGGTTTAAATTCAAACCTAATCCATTTTAAAAATGAAACTAAAATCCAAAACCTGACGCAAAATAATCTCAGATCATTCCAACCGAAGATATTTATTTTGACTTTTTTTTTTCTCTTATTTAATCGTATTTTATGGCTTTCTTTTTCTTTATTAAGCATGGACTTTAAGGAAGATTATTAATAACCAAAAACGACAATTTTTTGAAATAGCTAGTCATGAGTTTGGTTTGATCATAGAGGACTAATAAGTAAACCAATAAAGTATTTCTCTTCGTGATATATTATTATAACGATACATCTATTTGATTTTGCCAATCCTATATGGCCTAAGAAAAATTTTTGTACTTTAATAAATATTGTATAAACACATACTAATAATGTATTAATGTGCAACACATGTAACATACTAATTCTAAATAGAATAGTTGAAAAAAGTTTGAACTTTGGATCGACAAGTTGAGACAAGCAAAGATGGGTTAAGCGATCTGCCGAAGCTGTGGGATGTAAAAATGCATCGGTAGGGGAGCGTTCCGCCTTAGGGGGAAGCACCCGCGTGAGCGGGAGTAGACGAAGCGGAAGCGAGAATGTCGGCTTGAGTAACGCAAACATTGGTGAGAATCCAATGCCCCGAAAACCCAAGGGTTCCTCCGCAAGGTTCGTCCACGGAGGGTGAGTCAGGGCCTAAGATATATATATATATATATATATTTTGAATATCAAAATTGTTAATGATTAAATTGAGATAACAAGTAAAGAGATATATATTGAAAATAAAAAATTGTTAGGGACTAAATTGAAATAACAAACAACTTGAAAGGGGTAAACGTGAAATTAATCCATCATAAAATAAAAATCAAGGGAGTGTGCTTGAGCTTAAGAAGCCCAGGCCTTAAAATACAGGGGAGTCAGCATCAGTGAAAGTAGAAAAAGAAAGAAAAAGCTGAAAAGGACTTTCAATTTTACTCCTTAGACTCATGCACTCTACAGTTCTGTACACCCTTTGGAACTTTAACCAAATCTCTCTCTATGTGTATCTGTTTTCTTCTCTTTGACGGTTCATTTTATTGTTACCTTTAACACCTCTCCAGTTCTCCAGTTTCACACTTCAAACTCCTTATTATAGCCTAACTTTCCAGCTTCAGCCCGCCCATATCTCCAAATATCCATGTTTAAATCCCACCTTAATACTTGCTTCACTTTTCAGCTATTGCCAGGGCAACCTCAGGGGCTTATTTTTCTTCTTCTTCTTCTTTACATTTTTTCATCATCTGAAACTTGAAGCGTGCTTCTTCAGGGACTAGAAAGATGCCACCGAGACCCAAGTTACAAAACCATGGTCTTTCACTTAATACAATACTCTTCTCAATTCTGGTGAGTCTGTTTATGTGCAAGGCAATTAGTTTAGCGGCTGTTTTTGATGATAAAGATGCTTTATTGCATTTCAAATCTGCTATTGCTGAAGACCCTTTAGGGTTCACTTCTAGTTGGAACCCAAATGATAAAGACCCTTGCTTTTGGCATGGTGTTACATGTGACCCACTTGCAGGTCGAGTCATTAGCCTTAATCTTTCTTCTAACCTCAATTCTACATGTTCTATACTTTCACTTTCTACATCACCAACAACTGTAGCGGCTGGTCAAGTTGGAGGTAACTTTTCTTTGCTATATCCTTGTTTGCATGTTGGTGCTGATGACAAGAATTCTTTTGCTAAATTGAGAGGTAAATTATCTCATGCTATTGGCTATCTAACAAAGCTTAGAGTTTTATCACTTGGGTTCAATGGATTCTTTGGTGAGCTGCCATTGGAGATTGGAAAGCTTAATCTTTTGGAAATTCTTGATTTAGGTTTTAATGCTTTTCATGGTCCTATACCAGTCACCTTAAAGAACTGCACTGCATTGAGGGTTATTAATCTTTCTGGGAATCAATTGAATGGAACAATTCCTGCAATTTTTAGGCAAATTAAAAGTTTGCAAGTTGTTGACTTTTCTTTTAATAAGTTGAGTGGTGAAATTCCTGAGGAATTAGGTGAGAATTGTGGGAGTATAGTGCATCTTCATCTTGCAAGTAATGGACTTTTGGGTTCAATTCCTTCCAACTTGGGGAATTGTGGTGAGCTTAAGTCTTTGATACTGTCTTCTAATATGTTGCAAGGTGATATTCCTTCAAGTCTTGGTAAACTTGAGAATCTTGAAGCACTGGACTTGTCTAGGAATTTCTTAAGTGGGGTTGTACCACCATCTTTGGGAGATTGTAAGCAGTTGAAATTGCTTGTGTTGAAGAACAACTATGGTCCCCTGTTTTCAAGGAAAGACTCTAGCTTGACATTTCAGCAAGAGGACGATGGAGTTGGAGAGGAGGATTTTAATTATTTTGAGGGGGAACTACCTGAGAGAATTGTAGAACTTTCCACTGTCCATGTTCTTTGGGTGCCAAATGCGAATTTGGAGGGCATTTTCCCTAAAACTTGGGGGTCGTGTTCTAACTTGAAAATGCTGAATGTAGCACAGAATTTCTTGACTGGACAAATACCTGTGTCCTTTGGTGAGTGTAAGAACTTGTACTTCCTTGATTTGAGCTCCAATAACTTGACCGGTTTGCTTCCAGCAGAAATTTCTGTTCCATGCATGGTCGTGTTCAACATCAGCCATAATTCCTTGTTTGGGAACATTTCAAGATTTTCTTATGGTGAGTGCTCTAATAGTTCAGTGAATCTGTCAGTGTCATATGTGGACTTGGTTGGGTTCTACTCTTCTTTCTTTTATAGGAACGCTCTCATGAATGTTGGTCCTTTCTCCTTTTCCTCAAGTGAATTTGTTGTATTGCATGATTTCAGCAGGAATCAATTCACTGGCTCAGTTCCTCCCTTTTTTATTTCTTCATATTGTTTGTCTGCTAAGCCACATTATGGTTTCTGGTTGAATGGGAACAATTTTGAAGGTAATCTTTCAGCATATTCTTTTGATCCTTGTCCAAGGTTGGATGGTTTGATCTTTGATATTAGCAACAACAAGATTGTAGGTGAACTTCCTCCAGACATAGGCAGCACTTGTAGGTGCTTGAAAATTTTGAGTTTAGCAAGCAATGCATTTGTTGGTTCAATTCCTACATCATTCACTAACATGCATTCTCTAATTAAGCTTGACCTCAGTGAAAACAGATTGCAAGGTCCTATTCCATCTTATATTGGAGTGATGAAGAAGATGAGGTGCCTTTTACTTTCTAATAATAACTTTACTGGTGCAATACCTTGGGATTTAGTTCAACTGTTGTCATTAGAGGTTTTGGAGCTTTCTTCAAATTCCCTCTCAGGAGAGATACCAGCTGATTTGGCGAAGCTCAAGCACCTTAGTATTCTACGGTTAGATCATAACAAGCTCACAGGGCAGATACCCTTTGGCTTTAGTAACATGACTACACTTTCAGTATTCAATGTTTCTTTCAACAATTTGTCTGGATCTATCCCTCTGAATTCAAATTCAATAAATTGTGAAAGTGTGAAAGAAAATCCTAACCTTCATCCTTGTCACACTGATCAATCATCCTCTGAAATGGAGCGGCGGCACTTTGGTAATATTTCACAACAAGGAGCTTATTCTCCCATGGAAAGCATACAGAAAAACGACAGTCAGTTCAGTCCAATAGAAATTGCCTCCATCACGTCTGCTTCAATAATTTTTTCTGTCCTCATAGCCTTGGTTTTCCTCCTTATATGCATGAAGAAATTTGCATGCAATTCTGTATCAGATCAAGTTTCAGGTAGAAGAGAGGTGGTAACTTGCAACAGCATTGGTGTACAGCTGACATATGAAAATGTTGTTAGGGCCACTGGTTGTTTCAATCTCCAAAACTGCATTGGTAGTGGAGGTTTTGGGGCAACATACAAGGCCGAAATCACTCCAGGAGTTGTGGTTGCAGTCAAGCGGCTCTCAGTTGGTAGGTTTCAAGGTGTTCAACAGTTTGCTGCTGAGATCAAGACTCTTGGACGGGTGCAGCATCCAAGTCTTGTAACTCTTATAGGTTACCATGTTAGCGAGGCTGAAATGTTCCTGATTTATAACTACTTGCCGGGTGGCAATTTGGAAAAATTCATTCAGGAGCGATCAAGGAGGAAACCAGAATGGAGTATGCTACACAAGATTGCTCTGGATATAGCACGTGCCCTTACTTATTTGCATGATGATTGTGTCCCTAGGGTATTGCACCGTGACATCAAGCCAAGCAACATTCTTTTGGATAATAACTTCAATGCATACCTATCTGATTTTGGCCTTGCTAGGCTTCTTGGCACTTCTGAAACTCATGCAACTACTGATGTTGCAGGAACTTTTGGATATGTAGCCCCTGAATATGCTATGACATGCCGCGTCTCTGACAAGGCAGATGTGTATAGTTATGGCGTTGTTCTTCTGGAATTATTGTCTGACAAGAAGGCTTTGGATCCATCCTTCTCTTCCTTTGGAGATGGTTTCAACATTGTGACGTGGGCAAGCATGCTTCTTGGGCAGGGTCGAGGCTGTGAGTTTTTTACCGCTGGCCTATGGGATTCTGGACCTCAACATGATTTGATTCAGGTGCTTCAATTGGCTGTTATGTGTACCGGTGAATATCTTTCATCGAGGCCATCTATGAGGCAAGTAGCCCAAAGGTTGAAAACGATTCAACCTCCGACATCTTAGGAATTTTTTTTTTTTTCTTTCAAGATGTCTCTTCTGCAAGTCATCAATATAATTGCAAAGCCAATGTTTTCTTATTTTTCATTGAGTTTAGTACATTTCTTGTAAAGAACACATCAAAGTTATTCCCGGGAGACGTTTTAATAAAAAATTTCCCTCAAATTGCATATTCTGTTCTTTGAAGTTACTCATGAAGTCTACCATGCTTTCCAAGCAAGACCTGCTTTATTCAAGTTAACTCTAAACAGGAAAAAAAATGGTAAACTTGTCTCTTTTCCCTCTGACTTTACCTGCACAATCTGAAGCTGAATCTCTAACTGTTGCTCCAAGTGGTTCCAGTTAACTTTCCTTTTAGATCAAGCAAGGTATTTATTTGGTACAAAAGAGGTAGAAACTTTGCAAGCGATGAAATTTAAATTTAAATTTATTTGATATTATTTTTTAAGAGTGTTTACACGTCAATTGATCTAAATTCGAATTTATTTTTTAGTTACTTTTAAAATTATGTTTATAACTTCTTTATAATGTAACAAGCGGTCTGCCTACACGTCCTGTGGGGGATTGTCGCGCATCAAGGAAATGACATTTTGCATAATTAAGGTAGTAGGACTGAATGATGTCCCATTCTATATCTTGAGGTTCAAATTAGTTTTGCTTAGACTAATGCAGCGGAGGCCTCAGCTCGATATTTATGCTATTGCTTACTGAGCTGAACATAAAATAGTAAAAGACATGGAAATTAAGAATATGTTAGAAACAAAAAATATATATATTTTGAAAAGAGATTAGCATGTAAGAAAAAAGTAAGTAATTATTTTAAGTGGGTAGTTTTTTTCTAAACACAATAACACACGTGAAAAAAACTATATAAATAGAAAGACATAAATATCCCCAATTTTATATTTTTGTTATTATTTCATTTTGTTTTTATATACTTTTCGTATAGGAGTGGCGTAGACAGGGGAGTGATAGAGTCGTGGGCGAATTAAGGATTGGACGTCGATGACTTTGTAGGTTGGGCTTAAATTGGCAGCTTTGTACTTTGAACAAATCATACTGACTTTGCCTGCCAGGTAAATTTAGGCTTAAATTCCTGTGCCACTCTTCCTTTAATCAGGGTGTATTCGGTTGGATTCGGGTTTCATTTTTTTTTTTTTTTGGGATTGGGCATGGCCCTATCTGTAGTAACTCGTAACCCTTTTTATCCATTTGCAAAAGGAAGTGGGAAAGGGAAAGCGAGCATACGCAATGGACAAATATGGATGAAAACTTGCGATCAGAAAGAGAGAACCAAGAATTATTACCGGTGACGTGAGGATCTTATGGGCACTAACCGGAAGTAAGTTCCAGTTGTGCTATAAAACAAAACAAAATTAGGCTGCCAAACCCACTCCTAGATTATGGGCTCGGTACCAACCTAGGACAATGTAGTTTGCAAATGTAGCAAAAAATGCACCAACATGGGCCACACATGTAATGTAAGTTCAGTTTATGAATATATTAGTATTAGTAGATATCCCCTTAATTAATTACTTCATTAACCAATAATATTCAACATGTCCATCATCATCTATTGATAAAAACAAGGCAGAATTAGACTTAGGTGTATTGAATAGTAAAATAATTAATGACCCCTTTTTTTAACATAATTAGTTGTTATTATACAACATCATTATTATTATTTTTTGATAACTTTTTCTTATTTAAATGTAATGGAGTAAGACTGAGGGAAAGAGCTGAAATTTGAATGTTGGATCTTGACAATTCACTAGAGGTAATAATCACGTAAAAAATTCATGTACATTTGATGATTGATTTGAAAAAAAAAATTTTTTTATGATATATACGGATATGCAACATATCATTATCTACAATGCTACTATACAAGAATAAAGAGTGCCAGAAACCCATCATCAATTACTAATTGACAAGTCGTTTCTGGCTACTTTAATAACTAAAAGAGAAAATTTAATAATTAAAGAGATTGGTTAGAAAAAGTGTATGGTAAAAGGAATAGGAGAGTGATTGAAATAAATTTGGGCCATTTGCTTAATTACACACATAAAATGGGTAATTGCATGAATCCACCAATGCTTCAGCCTTCAGCCTTGTGTATCTTGTGACATGCATGACTTTTGCACATCACAAATCTCCGAACCTTAACCTGCTGCTATTATCATTCATCATACATATATAAATATATATATATATATATATCAACACACATAATTACATAGATGATTAAGTGGACAGCTTTTTTTTTTCGTACATAAAATTTTTTTAAAAATATCTTTTATAGTGATATATAAGATATTTTTAATTTTAGATTATTTATAAAAATATATATTTAAAAAATTATTTAATTATCCAAAACTTTCAAAATTTAAATGAAAAATCAAATTAAATTTAAAATAATTAAATAGATAAAATTATTTTTTTTATTTTGGCAAGATTTTATTAAATAAGTAAAATTAATTCTTTTTTATTTATATATTGAATAAATGCATCTAAAAAATCATTGGTTAGCCAATTTTTTTAAGATATATTTATTTGAAAATTTTTTAATTATCCAAAACTTTTCTTTCAACTTAAAAAAAAACCATCTTTATCTGTCAAATACATCTTTAGATAAATCTTTTTTATTTTTAAAAATTAATATTTTAGTAATTAGCTAAACATAATTACATACCGAAAAAGAAAAGATCCTGCCATGGATGCTCTCAGCTCGACCAACCCCGCGCATGTAAATTCTAACCAATCTAATCTTGCTCATAAATGCAAATATAATTACTCATTAATTCGTTATATTATATAAAAAACCTACATATTAAAGCATAAAAAAATTAATTTTCTTTTTTGGCCTATAAAATAAAATTTAAATTAAGTATACTTTACTTTGTCATTTATACTATGATAAATTCATAATCAATATTACGTGATAAATGTAATTAATTATTAAGACTTGGTTTAACATAACGTTTAGAAGTATTGTTCAAATCTTTGGCCAACCTAACAATAATAAAATAAAATATTAGTATTAACATATATTTATACTTTGGTTATTAAATAAAAACTTCACCTAACACTTTCAATGAAAGGCAATAATATATATATATATATAATTTTTTAAAATTATGTTTTAATAATTTAGATATATATATCTTTTAAAATTTAAAAATATCAAATGTAATTTTATCTTAGTAGATTTCATGATAATCATTTATTATTTAAAAATATCAAATTTAATTTTTTAATAATTTATAAATGATCATTCATTAATATCTTCTTTAACATCAATTTGATATTGTTTTAGCCATTCTTATCCAATTTTTTTTTATGTAACTTATTTTCTTTATATATTACAAAGTGCAAGTTACCAAAACATTTATTTTTTCTTTGTTGGGTGCTTAGGTAAGCCTTCTTCTTTAACTTTAACTTTTTTTTTCATATATGACAATGTTCAAAGTTACATAAACATATATATATTTTTATATTTTGTAGGTGTTGTTTGTAGATTTTTTTTTCTTTGTTTTTGACTTTTCACTTAAGTAGGTAATATTTTTTTCTTTAGTTTTCTTTTTTCATGTATCCTATCGGTGCAAAGTTATAGAAACATTATATTTTGTATTTGTTATCTATAGATCTTTTATCTTTACTTTTGACTCTTCATTCAATTAGGTATTATATGTTTCTCTCAATTCAACTTTCTTACAATACACAAAAAGACTTCCAATATTAGTATGCTTGGTTACAATGATTTAAACTTGTTATTTATGTCAAAACATTTTTATAAGTAATAAAAACTAATTGAATTTGAACATCATATTATATGTATTATAAACGGCCCATTGATTATTACTTTGTATAAAAGTTTAATCTTCTATACTTTCTCTTCTTCAAAGTTATAACACTTCTTTTATTTATAAAAAAATTGGGATAAATTGAAATCCAATTTGATTTCCTTTTTTTATTTAATTTTGTTGAATGGTTTTTCTTCCTTCAATATTGTTTACGTATATTTTAAATTTTGTTAATTTTTTAATTAAAAATGTTTTTATTATGATTTGATGTTTTAATTATATTATTTATATTTTTACATATATTTTGAACATGTAAATAATTAAATTATATTTTTATTTACCATTTAAATAAAATAAAAATAATTTATGCATCATAGGAGTAGTAAGCTAGTTTAATATATATGATTTATGGGACTACATATATGCTTGTAATTGAAGAAACCCATACAACTGTTACAAGAAAATGCCATAAAGGCAGTTTCTCTTATGCGCTATGTCAAGATATTTCCAACAATATATTTGATAAACTAATTAAATTCATTTATTTTTGAAAGATGTATGCAATAATAATATTGAGTCCTAATTGATTAGTTATGCAACTTCTCGAAGATGTTATATATATAGAAGACATACTTAGTTTAATTCCTTTTTTCCGTTTTTAAACATGTAAGTTTGCATGATATTGGTTGTTAAGGGACAAACAAATTAAAAAATTAATGAAAAATGATGATAAATATGTTGGTAAATGTATTTTGTATAGATTTCATGCCCTATTTAAACCAGACCTCGAATAGTCTAAACCATACAATCTCTCAAGTTCCATTTTCTTTTCTCTGTATATTTGTTCCACCCTGATGTCTTTTTATATATAGTTTTATTACGAGGAACAAACTGGAAACCACTACTATATTAGCACTAGCGTTAGTGCTTCATTGACTGCACAGTCTCGCTACAAAAGTTTCCAAGTCCTGTGCAATATGAAGGGGAATCGTTGGTTCAATACCTTCGTCCTGTTAATCCTAACGCTTATGATCTTCCACCGAGGAATTTGCCATGCTCGGCCTCACCCTTTTGGCAGTGGCTTCGTTCAAACAAGAGGAACCAACTTTGTCATGAATGGAAAGCCTTTTTACTTGAATGGCTTCAACGCTTATTGGATGATGATGTTTGCATCTGACCCTTCTACAAGGAGCAAGGTTACAGACGCATTCCGAGAAGCCTCCAGGCATGGCATGAATATAGCAAGAATTTGGGGTTTTGACGATGGTGATTACAAGCCTCTTCAGAATTCTCCTGGCTCTTACAATGAGGACGTGTTCAAGGTAATTCACACAGATTAATCAATTTTTCTTCTGGCCGTAACAGTTTCTTTTCCTTGTTTCCATTGCAAAGTGGAATTGCGGCAAGCACAAGAAAATTAAGTGCTCGCATTTAATAGAGATTGACTAAATAAATGGGGCCGTTATAGCTAACATTGAGTGTTATTCGTCATGGTTATTTATTTCCAGGGACTGGACTTTGTTGTAGCAGAAGCAAACAAGTACGGAATTCACTTGATTCTGAGTTTGGTGAATAACTTCAAGGATTACGGAGGAAAAAATAAATATGTTCAATGGGCAAAGCAACGGGGTCAGAACCTGAACAATGAAGATGATTTTTATACAAACTCTCTTGTCAAAAAATACTACAAGAATCACGTTAAGGTACGTTGGCGTACAGCCTTTGATTATCTGGAACTTGTATTACCGTATTACTCGGGGCTTTTGGGCTCCGTCGTCAAATCATTATAGTAGCTGGAGTGCTTCACAAAATCTTTTCCAGTTTTGCAAGGATGGTGAGAACCTAACGAAAGGAGTTTGGCAGGTCCCTAGCCTGGCTGGGTCCACTCTATGATTGCTAGCTTCATCCACCTAAATTTAAAGATGGGACTTGGGAGGACTTCATAGTCTGATCTTCTACAATTTTGTTAGAAAATTTGCTAAAATGATTTCTGGGCATGTTTTTAATTTGTCATAGAACAAACAGATATCAAAATCATATGGACAGAAAATAATAAATATTTGACAGGTTTAGATGCCATGGCCAAATATCCCATTTTGTTTTAATTATTATTAATAATAAGCAATACTGTATTTTTCATTTTCTTTTTCGGATGAGGAGGAGGTCTTTGTTCTTAGTTGGTAGTACTTGATTTTAAAATAGTGGCAGAATAACGATGGTTGCAGGCAGTGCTCACGAGAATCAACACGATTACCGGAGTGGCATATAAAGATGATCCTACCATTTTTGCTTGGGAACTCATGAATGAACCTCGTTGCCCCAGCGACCCCTCTGGAGCTCATCTTCAGGTTTCGGCTCCCTGTCCCTCTCTCCATTTGTGGTTGATTTAATGCTAATTTTGCCTGTTGCATGTTGAGTCTTGTCTTGTCTTGTCCTATGACACATAAAAGCGACTCAAGCAATACCGTACAATTATCATGTGAACACTAGCTAGAAAGTGGAAATAATAAAAGACTAAGGTGAAAAAGACAGTAATCAAAACAAATTACATCGGCTTACAGTTACTTTATCTTAATTTCAATTCATGGACAAGGAATTCAATTATTTAAGTCATAACAGCTAGAAAACAAAATCCATTTCACATTGGTGGATAAAGGAGCACTATCACGGATAGAAGGTGACTAGTGATCATATAACCATATAAAGAAAAAATTTGGTTTGTTTTTTGAAATTGATGTAAATGATAAGAAACTGATTAGCTGATTTGGCCAAGGTCCATAGCATACACGCATGTAACTCCACAGGGAATCATATGAACAAACTATCAAAGAGCAAAGGAGAATCAGAATCCTGGATATGATGATGATAGTGACAGCCAATTTTGCTTCCTTTGTTCTTAATGCCTGTTTGTGTGTTTGCTTGGTATTCTGTACGTTGTTTAAGTTTCCTCTAATAGCTTGTGGTTGGACATTTTCTTCCACCCACTTTACCGAATTTTATGGGCTAGCTATAGATCTCACCAACTTCTTAATCATGTCATCAGGATTTTGAGTCGACTATTAATGGAATTTGCTATACAACTAATTGCATGAACTATTTGCTTAGTAATTCTAATTCCCATTTTCAGCTGAATTCTGTCAAACATATCATCAAACTTCTATGCTTATAGAACCAGGGCTGATCTACTTGCTTCTTTTTGCTTGATATCTTTATAGAGCTGGTTAAAAGAAATGGCTGCACATGTCAAGTCCATTGATAATCATCATCTACTAGAAATAGGACTTGAAGGATTTTATGGGGAATCCATGCCAGCAAAGAAACAGTACAATCCAAATAGTTATCCCATTGGGACTGATTTCATTTCCAATAATCAGATCCCCGATGTCGATTTTGCTACTATTCATCTCTACCCTGAGCAGTGGTAATATCTCTAGTGCTTCATAGATTGGATATCCTCTGTAGAGTGTCATGCACCAAAAAGAGGGAGGAAATTGATTTTCCTTTTCATTAATCTAAATTTCAGGTTACCATCAACAAATTCAAGCGATGAGGCCCAGCTTGCTTTTGTAGACAAATGGATCCAAGCACATATTCTAGACTCCAATTCAGTACTGAAAAAACCACTTGTCATAGGAGAGTTTGGCAAGTCTTCCAAGTTGCCAGGATACAGCTTGGAGAAGAGAAACTGCTATTTCCAGCGGATTTACAATGCTATCTACAGCAGCGCTAGAAGTGGGGGATCATTTGCTGGTGGGCTTTTTTGGCAACTCATGAGCGTTGGAATGGATAACATGGCAGATGGCTACCAAGTTGTTCTGGAACAGAGCCCTTCAACTGCCAATATCATTGCTCGGCAGTCTCACAAGCTATCATCTCTCACTTGAAGATGATTAGGGATTCCTTAAATCAATCAAAATATTATTAATGTACGACAGGCCAAATCTTGAAATGAGTTTAGTTGAATAAATGTCTATTAAACTACATTTGGACATGATTTAATACCATTGACCACATTTCAAGCCAGTCTATATGCTTGAAAATAACATTGAAGTGTGCTTAATGTTATGTTGTGAAATCGATGAAAATTTGGTGCTAATCTGCCTTTTAGTTCAACCAAACTTACACTTGCATGCACGTTTCATTTCTTTGTTTTTCCATCCAAGAGGCCAACAAAATTGTTTGAGCTAGCACCTTGAACAAGCCACAAAATTAATCAAATATAATATAACATTTACACTGCACTACAATGTAAATCAACCTCACCAACTTACTGATATTTTCCCGCATGTCAGTTTCAAACCAAACTTTGGTAAATCAAAATGCATATGATTGACCTCAGAAGGATGTACCTTTTACAAACAGGAGGTGACTTACATCCTTGTTTGCAATGACAACATTCTACATTCTGCAATTCAACCAAAGGAGATTAGAAAAGTGGAAGTTCTTGATCACAGCCTCAGTCAGAAGACCTTTTTCTATTTTGCTAAAAATACTTTGGTCATAAGACTAAGAAGCATAAAGAGTGTAATATCAACCAAATATCATATAGCAAAAACCACATTCCTTACCTTTTACAAACAGGGGGTAACTTACATCCTTGTTTGCAATGACAACATTCTTTCCAATTCTTGCATTTGTGTCTATTACAAACAGGAGGTAACTTACATCCTTGTTTGCAATGACAACATTCTACATTCTGCAATTCAACCAAAGGAGATTAGAAAAGTGGAAGTTCTTGATCACAGCCTCAGTCAGAAGACCTTTTTTTATTTTGCTAAAAATACTTTGGTCATAAGACTAAGAAGCATAAAGAGTGTAATATCAACCAAATATCATATAGCAAAAACCACATTCCTTACCTTTTACAAACAGGGGGTAACTTACATCCTTGTTTGCAATGACAACATTCTTTCCAATTCTTGCATTTGTGTCTATTATACAATTCCTGCAGGATAGATATAGTAATAAGCTCTTAATAAAGCATCAAAGCTTGGAGAAAATCTATTATGCTCTTTCCATCTAGAAAATAAAACTAAGATGCTCTAAGATAACACTAATGATTACATGCTTAAACTGTAACTGGGATGCATGTCATATAGTACATCATTCCTACATATCTCTCATAGTATGTGACTATGAAGACACTCTCAAAGGAAACTTACATAATTTTAGTATCTCTCCCAATGCCTAGTGGAATTTTGCTCTCTGCTAAACAGGATGCTATTAAAGACTCAATTTTGGTAATTGTCAGCACCCCTCATCAATGTATCCTGCAGCATCAATGAAAATTATAATTTCCACAGAGTTGAAGATTTTCTGCTGTCTCCTATTGGCTCCATTAAAGGTGATCATACTCAATTTTAGATGACTTAAATTGGTAAGAAGAACGATATGATACAGTTATGTAGAGGATGAAATTTGGCTTGTGGATGTAAGGGGATTGAAAGAGCTATAATGCAGAGGAATAGATCGCATACAAGCTAGATGGCATTTTTCAGGATGATATTAAAAGGAACTTTGCTCAAAATAACTATATCTGCTTGAACCTTATAATATTCTTGCTGCCATCATTCTTTACTATTAGATAGTAATCCTTCCATTGCACTTACAAATATCACATAATCTTATCAGGGTATCCATACATATCCCAAATGTCCTATAAGGATGATGCTGCTTATCATAAATTATTTCATACTTTGGCCTTGGATAAGACTTCAGCTAGTTTGTTCAACAAGAAGAGCATGAAATAAAATTCAAGGAAGCTTATGAAAAATAAATAAATAAAGGAAAAATTACCTTCATCTCCACCCCATATTCCAATCTTGAGCGAATTCCCACAATGGAATGTTTGACACAGCATTCTCTCAAGAAGCAGCCATGTGAAACTATAGAGTCCACTACCTACAATAAGCAGGGGTAACTGTTTGATCTCTATATATATCAACTTAGCCATGCTGTTTGATTACACATCAAGAAGTTCAAAATAAATTATTACCCGGCACTGCTCCATTTTTGTTTGAGGTAGAAACTGAGGAGAGGTGAAGATTGGCTTTAGGGGATCATAGAAGTAAAACTTGGGAGGCTTCAAACATAGACACAACAAGTTGCAGCTTGTTAAGTATTAACTTAGTTGGATGAGGAAAGACGGCAGGAATAGTTTAAAAGAAAAAGAGGATTAATTGATCTGTAAGGGCCAAATTTGCATCAAAAAAGGATTTTATAGTTCCGATATCTTCCCAATAGCCATCAAATAAATATGCCTGCCATGTAAAAATTAACTGCAACTCAGGGCCTCTACTACAAACAATTGAAAATGGCAATTCTCAAGTAATAGTCATCCCTGATTATTGTTTGAGAATCTACCTTAACATTGCAATCTTTCATAGCCAGTGGAATGATTTCAGATCCAAAATCATTGGCTACTGGATAATGCCACCTAAAGAAGCACAAACAATACAGAAAAAGAAAGATCATTTCTTGCTTATGCACAAAATTAAGAATTACCACCATATACACTGAAATGGTCCATCTTTGACGTCTAAAAATAAAAATTACAATCCCTGAAACAAACTGATGCATTATTGATGAAAGAAAAAAAAAGTACATCTTTCCTAGCTGAAGCAACCAGAACATTGATGCAGTTTATGGGAGATCTTTTGCAGCATGAGCTTTGTTACCTGAGTAGTTTCAGTAGAATTTCTGTCTTGAATAGATAGATACCCATTGATGCAATGTATGGAGATTTCCTTGCATCTTGAGCTGTTAATTCCAGAACAGTTGTATCGGCTTGCTGTTCTGATTAAAAGTTGCAATAATCTAACTTATAATTTCAATTTAAAACAAAATTTATATCAGAAGAACAAAGGATAAGTACCAACCATCGACCTCAAACTTTCCCCCTTAGGTTTCTCAAGAAACTGCCTGATCTATCCATTTTCATCAATCTTTAGCAATCCAAAATCAAAGGCACAACTGCACGATAAGAAGACTTTCTTTAACCAGGAAAAAAAAAAAAAGAAAAAGGAAAAGTGAAAGAAATGTTTCAACCAATTTTTGCAGTGCAGTTCATTTTACTGGTGACTATAAAATCTTAAACAAGGCAAGAAAGCATAGGTAAAATTAACTGAAAACTTGACAAGTTTTGGTTCAAATATTCACCTTTCATCCACAGGGAGACAAGAACAGATATATCAGCACCAGAATCAATGTGCTTCTGCAATAAAGATATGTGTTTAATAAAGCCTACAAGTATAATATAAAAGATAACATAGCAAGGTAAATAATCAAGTGCACAGCTGTAGTTCACCTGCAAAAATTGCATGTAATCCATTCTATATAGATGATCACCAGATAATATCAGAATGTTCTCGATATGTCTATGTTTAGCATCCTGGACATATTACCACAAATTTTCACCCAATTTGAGGACACAAGAATTCATGTATAATATACATATTAAATTGAGATAAGCTATACTCTTCACACTTACTCTTATGCTATTAGCATTTCTATTCAAAATTGGATAACATAGACCAATTACGAAGAAAATCTGACAAAAGAACAAGGACAGACAAGTTTGTCATACCTCAAACAACCAGATGAATTGTCTTACAGCATCTGCTGTACCCTGAAACCACTTCTTTCCAGATTAACCAGATGTTTGTGTAGCTGGTAATACCTATGGCAAGGCAAGGAACAGAATTAGAAGCTTACGTAGCAGAGACATGATAAAGAGGACCCATTATGTTTAATCCCTTTAACAAACATGTTAATGATCCTTCTCTACAATCATTTCTATACTCCTTCCTCACTGACCCACCAGCAACAATGCATTACCGCAGTTTGGAGTGTTGATGTTTCTAAAACATGAATCTTAGAACTTCAGAATTTTTAAACATACCTCAACAAAACCATCACCAAAATTCATACCATTGCCTGAATTATATGTCCGAGCAATTTGGCAGTTGAGAGATTGAGAATTGAACTGGGTGAGGATATAACACCCCCTATTGGAACCTAATAGACCATGTAGAGCATCAAAGAAAGCAAATGTCAGAGCTATTTAGAAAAATCTAATCATACATTTAAAGGTGGCGTTGAACACTTCAAGTTAGCATACAGTTGGCTTGGCCCTTCTTCGAGTAAGGGGAAAGAGCCGAGTTCCACCTCCACTACCTAATATGATGGAGGCAACTGTCTTTGGGTATGCCTCCTGTTTCGGTAAAATATTTGCCCGGAAAGCCTACACTGCAAGTTCAGGGTTAAAAACAAAAACAGGATTCAGTAATCATTCAATACTAAGTGCAAGAAAATTGATAAAGTAACAGAACTGACAATTTTCAATCTACATAGAGAAGGAAGCTACCATGAAATCTTTGGCAACATCAGCGAGAACAGCAGAGGTGGAAAATCTTTTGGTTGCATCACATTTCCTCCTAGCAATGTTGATTTTCCCCACCCGAATACCAGAAATTGCACTGTTGGCTTGCCCAATTCCCACTCAATTACCAAAGAATGAAGATGACAGAACCCTGTCCAGGCGGGATGGCGACAACTTTGATGATGGACCACAGCAAGAACTCAATATTTTTTTCCTATGGCAATGTGCTAAAGTGAAATTCTTACTATTAAAGATTTCTCTTCTTCGAGGAAAGAATATAGAGCCTAAGAACAATCCATTTTCTTGACACTTCTTCAGTTCTCCTGTTAGTTGCTCTTCCCTGTTATCTTGATGACTGATCAACAATATGGAAGTAAGAAAATCAATAGTTTGAAAAATGGATCATTGCTTACCTAAATTTCAATGCCAACATTTATTGGGATTTGAGATCGCTAGTTCCATCTCAAATAAAGATTAAAATAAACTATAACAGAGCTCATAATGATCAATCATAAAATAAAAAATCCAAAGCCTTAGAAAGGAAGAGAGAGAAGCATACACAATCTTACTAAATTAAACAATTCAACTATAAAAAATGGAAAAATTATAAAGTATTGAACATTAATAATAATGGGAAATGTGATCACATCAACCATGATGATCAATCATGGTAAAGGAAAGAAGCAAAGAAAGATGAATGAAATAAAATTGCCTCAAGATGTAGCATTCATATTTCTGTCTCTTTTTTTTTTTTTGTGAATTTATGAAAAACAAACTTCCATCTTGTCGAAATGTTTATGTAGTAATGAAATTAATAAATCAAAATTTAAAATTAATTTAAGTTATTGCTTTTCAGGAAACATATATAAAAAAATCTCAATGCATGAGTTTTTAATAAAGTCATAGTTGAATTAATTTGTATCATTTCATAATAAAAATAAAAAAATAAGAGATATTAATTAA